ATAATAACATCTCGCGGTCGCCTGTCATCCGACCGCCTTGCCCGGAGCGCCCGATGTGCCCGCTCTATATGCCAAAGATGATCCGGCATGTCAGGGAGAAGCGGCCTAAGGATGCCCGAGACTGCCTCGATCAAAGACCCCTCCCCCTCCTGCTCTGGTAGGCCTCGGAGGCGGACATTATTCCGCCGCGATCTATTCCCAAGGTCCTCAATAGCCAGTTCGGCGGAAGTCAACCGGGTTGTCATAAGGTTGATCTGCGCTGCAGCAGCGTTGTGGGCCACAACTGTGGACTCCACCCGCCGCTCCAGCGCTGCCGTCCTCGCCCCCACGGCCTGAATCTCCGCCTTCACCTCATCCGTGCTCCTCACAATTTCATTAGCCAGATAGGATCGGACCTCCGCCAATTTTGTAAGAATCTGGCTGGTGTCCGTCCCAGGTGTACCGGCAGTGACATTGCTTCCCGGGCTGGAGGGTGAGCGCGGTGTTGCCTGGCCGTCCCGTCCGCCATCTTGGGAGCTTAGTCGCACGGCGCGGGAGGCCGCGAAGAGCTCTGACACGGTAGTGCCCGCTTCCATTACCTTTTTCCCCTGCCTCTTCGGGGCCCTCTTCTCCATGGTATATCCCCCGCAGATGTAGGTAATCTTTCCCGATGTATCCCGGCTTATGTTAGCTGTTGGCACCGCGGCTGCAGCAGAGCTTTACATGGACACGTCCATCTTGCTCGGCCGCCAGCCACGCCCCCGAGGATCCGTCTTTTAAGCGGTCAGGAACAGTATTTTGTGCTGTTATTACGAGCTCACAGCCGGAGCTCAAGCTAATGGCCTCCAGTCGGCCCGGCGGCCCGGCCCCGCCCCCTTTTTATATATTTTGTATTATTTTTTTAAATATTATTTAATTTATAATTTATATTTTTATTCTCATTTTTCTTATTTAAATAATAGCATGCTTTAGGTATTGGTATTATTTAGTTTATGTTTGTATAACAATGTAAGCATATATTGCCTTAGACTAAGCCAACAGGGCCCTGCGGTCCAAGAGGTGCCTCGGCAGTTAAACCCAGAGATGTGGAATGCAGATTACACTACTATGCATGCAAAAACGACACACTTACATCTTTGTGCCAATCCCAACAACCGCTACTCTTCCGATCTACCCCTGTTGCTATTTACCCTGACCTATCGTGGCTAAGACTGCAGGCCCAGTAGAAACTTAAAATACCTCTGGAGATTCCCCTTCGCACTCACTGTGTCATATAAAAATGCTCAACACACCATTAACACCTACAGAGATGTTTCGGAGTTCATGAGAGAATTGGATCTCCCAGACATCCATATCCAGGACTGGTAAAGCCCTTTGCAGCCACCTAACGCCCCGCGTCTACCACAAAGACACCACTGGCAACAAACACCCAAAAAGAGGAGGACCGAACAAACAGAAGTAAATCCTGCTGACATGCCACAAGGTCCACCACCATACTGACCACCATACTGACTGGACTACCGCTGAAAAAGACCGCCCCCTCCTGCTCTAACAAATGTGGAATACCATGATACCCTGCATACTACCCACTCCACCTGCTGAAACGTACTGCCAAAATACACCCGAACACAGCACAAGATTTTCCTGTACAACCAAGCCACCTGTAGACTCTCACTGTACTCAAACCTCTACCAGCTCCATGCGCTGAAACAAGTCACCGGAATTACATAGCCGACGGCATGAGACTCTCACCCACAGCTTTGTTATCTGAGGGCTACCACGTTATCCCCCCTTCTACCCACACCACCTGCTGCTTCAACTGCACCCATTGTGACACTGTCAACAAAGCTGGAAATGTACGACCATCACACAACCAAATATCTAACGGATGTACAACTTGGGAGCAAGACCCTGTTGTACGTTTACATTATGCCATCAAGGTGATATCAAACCACTACTTTGTTATGATGAATTAAATCCCTGACTTATTGTACCCCTGTCACCCTCTCTCCCCTTTTTTTATTATTACATGGTCAGACCATGCACCCCTGTCTCTTGCAATTCATATACCGTCGCTTCCACAAAAAATGTTCCAATGGAAACTAAACGACCTCCTACTTAATGATCCCTCAATAGTATGTCAACTCCAAACAACCCTGCAAAACTACTTCACTGACAACACAACCACATCCTCTTCTCATCCCATTATATGGGAAGCACAGAAATGTGTGCTATTTGGAGAGATTATAGCCATAGTCTGCAGACAGAAACAAAACAGGGAAGCCAAGGTAAACTCACTCCCGACAGAAATAAGGAATCTTGAACAGAACCACAAACTAGACACACAGCTGAGCACCTACACAGCGCTTACTGCCATACACTCTGAACTACAAGAATTATTAAATGCACAGATTAACAGATACTTCTTGCTCACCAAACACACATATTACTCCCAGGGAGGTAAATGTGGACATTTACTCACAAATTCAATAAAACAACAGAGACAATCAACCTTTATTTCTAAAATTAAAACCCACACAGGCGACATATCATACAAACTACCTGACATCCTAACTACATTTCACTCATTCTACACAAAACTATATGACCTTAGAGACTCGTCCCCCTCTCTGCAGGATATTGAACTGTTTCTCTCCTCCAGGATCGACCAAACTATCCCCACAAATATTCTCACCACCCTCGAAGCACCCATTACTCATGATGAAGTTCAACTAGTCATATGTCATCTACAGCTTGGCAAAAGTCTTGGGCCAGATGGCTACAATGCCAAATACTACAAAACATTCATGAACATTTTGAAGGAACCTTTCCTCAAAGCATTTAACCATGTTTCACAAACAGCAGCCCTTCCTCACTCCTCATTGGAGGCCCGCATAGCATTAATACCCAAACCGGCAAAGACCCAAGCATATCA